GCAACGATAGTAATAATAATGATAATAATAGCAACGATAGTAATAATAATGGTGATAATGATAATGATAATAATAGCAACGATAGTAATAATAATGATAATAATAATAATAATAATGATAATAATAGCAACGATAGTAATAATAATGATAATAATAGCAACGATAGTAATAATAATGATAATAATAGCAACGATAGTAATAATAATGGTGATAATGATAATGATAATAATAGCAACGATAGTAATAATAATGATAATAATAGCAACGATAGTAATAATAATGGTGATAATGATAATGATAATAATAGCAACGATAGTAATAATAATGGTGATAATGATAATGATAATAATAGCAACGATAGTAATAATAATGATAATAATAGCAACGATAGTAATAATAATGATAAAGATGATAATGATAATAATAGCAACGATAGTAATAATAATGATAATAATAATAATAATGATAAAGATGATAATGATAATAATAGCAACGATAGTAATAATAATGGTGATAATGATAATGATAATAATAGCAACGATAGTAATAATAATGGTGATAATGATAATGATAATAATAGCAACGATAGTAATAATAATGATAATAATAGCAACGATAGTAATAATAATGATAATAATAGCAACGATAGTAATAATAATGATAAAGATGATAATGATAATAATAGCAACGATAGTAATAATAATGGTGATAATGATAATGATAATAATAATAATAATGATAAAGATGATAATGATAATAATAATAATAATGATAAAGATGATAATGATAATAATAGCAACGATAGTAATAATAATGATAAAGATGATAATGATAATAATAGCAACGATAGTAATAATAATGATAATAATAGCAACGATAGTAATAATAATGATAATAATAGCAACGATAGTAATAATAATGATAATAATAGCAACGATAGTAATAATAATGATAATAATAGCAACGATAGTAATAATAATGATAATAATAGCAACGATAGTAATAATAATGATAATAATAATAATAATGATAATAATAATAATAACTATATATTACCTATTTTTCTTCCTGTCTATATCTGCATCTAATTCTAAATCTCATTCTATATCCTCACCTATATCTATCAATACGCGACAGATACACATCTACGTGTGTGTGATTTATGACGAAGTACATGACATCATAAAACTTACCTTGGACACCTAGCACATATGTAATGTGATCTTCTCCATGTGCATTGGTCACTCTGCAGGTATAGTTTCCTGAGTCCTTCCGCTGGACGTCTCGGAGCACCAGTGTTCCATCCGGGTAACTAGACACTCGCCTGTAGGATCACGTGATGTATAATGGAAATGACGGGAAAACTCTTCTGTGTATGTATAATGGAAGCTTTTAGACTTGATGGCCTTGGGAAGAGTGTATTGATGAAAAGAGAGTTAATTTAGTAATTAAAGAGATATTGTGTGATTATACGAGCAGGTGATTAGATTGTGTCGAGGTAATGGTAATTTATAGGCCTCTGATATGTTTTGAATTATAGTGATGGATTGTTGGTATATCACCGCGATATCTTTCGATATTTCGTGTCTAAATGTACAGAGTTTGAAGCTTTAAGACATTTTTTTCTTTATGTCGATAATGACTTTAATAAGGGATGTTATTCTCTTTATCATAGAGTGAAAGGTATGCTCTAGACGAAATGATTAAGTGTGTTTATACTGCAATGAATGATTCTCACTTGCCCGGTCAACAAAAAAGCAAACATCTAAACGCAAAGCAAGAACGTCTTTGTATACACACACACACACACACACACACACACACACACACACACACACACACACACACACATATATATATATATATATATATATATATATATATATATATATATATATATATATATATATATATATGTATATATATGTGTGTGTGTGTATGTGTGTGCCTATACATACATACATATATATATATATATATATATATATATATATATATATATATATATATATATATATATATATATATATATATATATATGTGTGTGTGTGTGTGTGTGTGTGTGTGTGTGTGTGTGTGTATATACAAGTATGTATATAAATCTATCCATATCTGTATTAGTTTTATTCGGGGAGGTCTCTCTCACACACCATTCCATTTCTCCACCGAACTCACTTATTCGTGGCGTCGTTGATGATAATGTTATCCCGGTACCAAGTCCTTCCAGGTGGCGGAATTCCGACGGCCTCGCACCTCAAACTCACGTCCTCCTCCCAGTGCACGCCCGTCACGCCCCCCCAGGACACCACCCGCGCTGGCACTGTCGAGGGAGGGGAGGAGGAGGGATAGAGGGCAGTTGTTAACGTTGGTAGGGGGGAATTGAGGAAATTTGAACAAAGAGGAATAGGGAAAAAATGAGGAGAAATGATAACGAAGGGTGAGGATAATGAGCAAAAATGAATATGATTATTGAATAATGAACAACAGTAACATAACAGTAGCTTTATACGAAGGTAGGAGGGATGGAAGGTAACTTTATACGCAGGTAAGAGGGATTGTGTTTAATAGCATTAACGGATACCAGTTATAGAGGGTAGTCGTACACATGGGTTATGGGAATAACATGTAATTGTATACATAGGAAGTAGTGATATAGAGTAGTCGTATACATAGGTAATACCGATAGAATGTAACACTGTACTTAAGTAATAATGACAGATTACAATCGGGATCATGAATAATAGCATAATGATATATATCACCACTACTAAAATAATTGGGACAATCATCTTGATAAAAAAAAAAAATCGTATCATGTTTTACAATCAAGGCTAACACTGTCTTAAAGCATGCACCTCGCGCATACCAATATCCTACATCTCTAGTATTACAGTGACGAGGTTATGGTGACTATCCTACCTGTAGTGGACAGTGCTATAGTGACGGGTGGCGAAGGGGGTCCCTCTCCTACTCGTGTGCTCGCGGCCACAGACACCTGGATACTGCCGGAGCTCGAAGGAAGGACCACCTCGTGTCTGGTGGAAGGAGCACGTACGACGGCCCTCTGGGTGGGGTGAGAGGGACAGGGCGGTGAAACGTTTGTAGAATGATGTGTTTTTTTGTCAAATTCCGTGATATCTACGGGAACGTTTGTAAGATAATGTAATGTTGCGAGGGTTTGGTTTCGGGAACGTTTGTAAGATAATGTCATGTTGCGAGGGTTGGATTCAGAAACGTTTGCAGAATGGTGTGATAGTGTAAGAGTTAACTTACGAAAGGTTTGCGGGATGATGTGATATTGTGAGGACTGAAGTTATAAACGTTTGTGAAATCATATTACATGGCAAGAATTGGTTTCAGAAACGTTTGCAAAATAATGTACTGTTGTGTGGATTGGCTTAAGAAACGTTTGCAAAATTATGAAATATTGTGAAGGGTTGGCTTCAGAAACGTTTGTAAAATTATATTACACTACGATGATTGGCTTCAGAAACGTTTGTTAGGGATAATGTCAGAAACATTTGTTGTAGCTCTAACTTGATGCTAATTCAAAGATGGTCTATAAGGATAAGTGACTGTGAGAGATGATTTCGTAACATTTATAATTCCACTGTGATACGCTATTAGTTAAAAGCTAAACACTGAGAGGATGTACAATATGATGTTCCATTGTAGTTCTAAAGTAATATTAGTGCTAGTTTATGGCATAACTGTTAGTTTAATTATTGCATGATGCAGCTGGGAACCTTTAAAACTGCAAAAAAAATATTGGTTGTGGAAGTTGGTTTCAGAAACATTCGTCATAATTGTAAAAAATAAGTTATGCTAATCTTATAACAATTTCAAAACAGACGTTGCTTTGTAAGAGCTGTCGTTAGGAACGTTCGTAAAAAGGTAATCAATATCTTATTCTGTTTCGTTCTTGTTTATCTGTTTATTGATTTATATATTAATTCATTCATTTTATAGCTTCACTGATAATGTTCAACATCTGCATGTAATAATAATTTTCCATTTTATTACCTTTAACAATAGGCTTACCTTGACGTCTCTTCCCCTAGTGGTGACAGTGTAGGTCAGAAGCCGCCCATTGCTGTTCGTGGGCGGCAGCCAAGACACCACCATCGTCCCCCGCCCAGAGACCGCTGCCTTCACGCCCGCCGGAGGTCCCGGGACTATGGGCGTGAAGAAGTTAGACTTAGGAGGATATATTAGCTATGGGAAGGATGTATATAGATGTGTGTGCTGTGTAGTGTATGGTGCTGTATTTTGTGGTGTACGTGTGTGTGTGTGTGCGGGCTTGCTTGCATGCGTGCGCACTAGTGTTTGTGTGCAGGCGTGCGTGTGTGTTTGTGTGTGTGCATGCATGTGTATGTATGTCTCTCCGTGCGTTCACATATTTTTGAGTCTACGGTGATACTCTGGAGCCCATTTTCTGTTATGCCTCTCCGTTTTCTTCTTCTCTTTCGCTTTCGTTTTCGTCCTGGTGCAAAGGTCGGTCATCGGACATTGATGTTTTGACGGGTGGGTCCCTAATGAACGCCGACCTAATTACACAAAGCTACTGTGATTCTTTTTTTTTTTTTTTTTTTTTTTTTGAGGGGGCGGGGGTTGAGGGGAGTACGGGAGGGTGGGGGGAGAGGAGGAGGCGGCTTTGTTATTTCAATCAGATTTAATGGTCAATGAAATATTAACATTATCAATCTTATTCCCTCGAGAAGTAGGTATAAAATGTGTATTAAACTATAATTATGTTACTCAGTATCATCTACACAGAGAAGGAACAAACAAGCACATATACATATAATTATATGCATACATACATACATACATATACGCCTATGCCTATGGACAGACGGGTGGACAGACAGCCAATAGGACAAACAGACAAATGCATATATTCTCTGTCTATCTATTTATTTCTATCAATCTGACTCTGTTTATCTCTATCTCTCTCGCTATCTCTTTCGCTCCCACTGTCCCTCTCTCCTTTTCTCCCT